AGGCCACAGTTAGAATAAGTTCACCAGGTAATCAGAATAAAAAGTTCAATTAAACTGAAGACAGGAACAATGCCCTTGTTACAACTTAAGCCAGAGTCAGATCACAACTCTTAGCTGTCCGTCCAACTTTTCATATATATATGGATGAATAGAAAAGTCACACTCTTGCTTTCTCATTGGATTGTGGACTGAGATAATGGTCCCTGAACTTGAAGGATTGTTCCTGTCTTTTTCTGTCTGTGTCACTGTGAAGTCAAGTCAGATATTTCCTCAAACGAGACACTTGATCCTTAGATGTCAGCGAAACTATCATACTGCTGAAGACAGCTGAAATTCTTTAATGCTAGCTGAAACATGTTCAAACTTTTATTGCATTCAGTGATATTCTGAAAGAATCCTTGAATCGCTGACATTATATCCTCAAACTGTGTCCGAGTCTAACACATTCACACGTTTTTAACTCTCTTTAGAATTCTGACTTTTAACTCTCATTGCTATTAACAATATCAATCTGAATGATGTGGACTGAGTGTCAGCACTGTTTCTTTTATGACTCTGTATATGAATGCCAGAGCGGGAAGAAACCTCACCATGCATGTCTGACCTTATTTCTACTCGGCATACATTATGCAATCAAATCGAGGTTTGCAGATGATATTAATGAAGACAACTGAATTCCAACGCCGGTCTCCCGCTTGGGCAAACAGACATCTGCTAGTCAGCTAAAAAAGGGGAAAGAAAAAGACCGCCAAGGAGGATATTCAGGCTTTTCCGGTCTCAGGTCTGAATGTATTTTCTTCAGCGCTGTCCTCCTCACTAAGGCCCCGTCCAAACGGAGACGAAAACGGACCGAATTTGATATCAAAAAAGTCTTCCGTCCACACGGAATCGGCTCAAGAAATGTGTCCGTCCACACGAGACCGCTCGAACCGCTGGAGACGCTGTAGTACATATGCCGGGCCTGTAAGTGGTGCTGTACTTCCGCCACAAAATACACCAAAAGCAGCGAATAAGACCGATGACGATTATTATTATTATTATTATATTATATTATTAATGTTGCTGATGGTTGTGGTAGAGGAGCTGTACATTTTGCACTAAAATCTGTATCATGGTCAGTAGCGTCTGGAGCACGAACGCAACCCTGTGATCCGCCATTGTTGTTGTTGTTGGCGGAACGCATCAGCAATGACGCGGGGGTGAGCAGGAGAGGTGGGGAGAGGCGGGGCTATGGCGTCATCGTTTTCAGGAAATGATCGTATAGGTATATCATACACAAGGAGCCGCAAGCGTTTCGTCCTCAGACCTACCGACCTTGGGAGCCGTTATCACAGGCTATCGGATTCGGGCTCCGAATCCGCGTTTCCGTGCCGGCCTCCTGATATCGTCTCCGTGTGGACAGGGCCTAAATCATCCTGTATCACAAAGTAAATCAGTCTTGTATCCAGAGTGGTTATGAGTGTGGATTATTAATGGTTGACTGAAGGGAGGACATGCTAATACAGTGGCTGAAGGGTGCAAGTCATTGGTTCTGACCTAAATGACCCCATTTACTAAGCAAATACATCAGGGACATACAGAAAAACCTAATAGATGCACATAAACATACGCCTTGGATTAGGTTTTGTCCAACATGAATTGGAACGAAACAAAATCCAAATGTACAGGAACAGTAGTGCTGCATATAGAACTTAGCTCAATGTCTGCATTCAGTGTGAGGTCATGCAATCAATTGCTATCTAGCACTGGTGGGAATGTGTTTTTGTTATGCAAATATTTGGTTATAAATCAAAGTGTTAGACAAATTGACCTTGACCTTTAGATGGCCCTTGATGGGAATGAGTTGATCAATTAACTTATTTCATGGGAGAGATATTCTATTGAATCAGATTTACTGACCATTGCTAAAGAAGAGTTGAGAGCACTTCTTTTTAGATAACAGATCAGCTCCTTTGTAGTGCCCTTTTCTAAAATCCTCAGTTTTGGCAGACGCAGGTGGTCTGTGAAAATTGTGCTGCATTATTATGGGTTATTTTCCCTTCTATTTTCTTATTTCCTTTGACTTTGTCATTTGGTCAGGAGGTGCAGGCAGTTAAAAAATACATTTAATTTTCTCCCTGAAATATTGTCATCTCTCAAGTAAAGTAATTGCCAGAATTGATTATTCCACTTCAGCTTTAAAAGTTCAGTTTTCACCCATTTAAAAGAAAAATAAGTAAGTAAGTCTCTTAGGGAGGGAATCAGGTGTCTGTATGACAACAAACATTACAATATAGTAAATACAAATAAAAGCTGCAGTGCTGCATTTTGGTTTGACTGTCCTGCTGTACTATGCATTCATGACTTCATTGTTTAGATCGGGTGATAAGCTCTTCATTAAAGAAGCTTCCCTGTAGTGCTTTATACGGGTTTTTGTGCATATAAATGGTCTTGTCCAAAGCATTTGAGAGAGAGGATGTAATTATTTCAGTCTTTTTCCCGTGTACAAAGATGACCACATCATCGGCATACATTTGCACATTCAACTCAGGACATACATTAGGCAAGTCATTAATGTACAGTGAAAACAGTAATGGTCCAAGAATGGAACCTTGTGGAACCCCAACAGGGTTCACAAGGTAGGGCAATTTGGCACCGTTGACCAAAACGCACTGTTGTCTGTTTGATAAGTAGGACTTAAACCAATGTATCGAAACTGCCGAAAAATTGAAATGAGTTAGCTTTGTAAGGAGCACTTGGTGGTTAACTGTGTCAAATGCCTTCCTGAGATCAAGGAAGACAGCACCTACATATGGGCTCGTGTCCAACATACATTTAACCTTTTCCACAAAGACACAGTTCGCTGTATCAGTGGAGTGGTGAGCACGAAAACCAAACTGCATTGGGTGGAGTGGAGCGAAACCTCTGTCTAAATGTTTGGTGATTAGTTTTGACACCCATTTCTCAGCTATCTTAGAGACTAAGGGGAGGATGCTGATGATATGGCTCAACAACATGAAGTACTTTCAAATCTTGCCAACAATAAATAACCCTGGATCAGTGGGCTAAATGGAGAGAGCACAGGCCTGCATATGGACTAAAGCTTAGCACATTTCTTTGTCTCATGGTGTTTGTTTTATGTCTGAACCTGAAAGACTTGGGAGCACACTTTATTTTTAAATGATGGAGGTAGGAGAAGGTCTGACACATTTCTAAAGATCAACCCAGCGTGGTATTGATTTCCGTCTACTGATGGTATTCTCTAAAGTGCTTCAATTCAAGAATTACATCGAGCCGGACCAAGGCTTCTGCACCACGTCAACCTATCAATCGTCCCCGTCCCTGTCTTTGAAGACGGATAAAGAGATAAAGAGCGGTCAGAACAGAAAGTAAAAACTGACATGTCTCCTTTTGATCCAGGATATAGAACGTCTAGTCCTGATGCCACTGATCTGTTGTTGTGACACTGATGGTTTCTGCTGTTACATAAAAAATAACCCCCGCTGAACTAGAAAAAGGGATTGTGGGAAGTAATTGGGACATGAAGTTATTTCTTCTGGTGATTTTTTCTTTTTCTCATTTGAAATTTGCATCAATAATCCCACTACCACAATGTAGAAAAGGATTAACGTCAGCAGAATAATTGAAGAAATGGTTTGGGGATTGATGTTGCTTGGCAACCCCTCAATTTGAGTTTCTAATGTTAGCTTTAATTTCAGTCAATTGAGTCACTCCAAGATTATATGCATGGAAGGAACAATTTCCCCTTCCTACCTTGCTGAAGTTAATTTCGCATGAGTCAGGGGTAATACACACTTGGTGTAACTGTTTAAATAGCATTTGACAAATTCATACTATCAACTGCTGCTTGTGGGCCAATTTCTCTAAATGGTTGCTATTGTATCTGTTAGCATCAGAAAGTTATTAAATCATAATCGTCGTTAACCTGGGCCTCATTTTCATATTTCTGCTGACAAATCCTCATCAGTCTTTTGTAATCGCTCCTCACAAGAAACCGGCGGGGTGAAAGTGAAAAAAGGGAATGTCAAGATACTTATTCAGCTATTTGAAGATATGATGCTGCTCTGGTTATGGTGCTATTATGTTGAAAGGCTACGAATTTAATCACGTTATGACTTTGAGCTTCCCTTGACCCCTCTGGAGTGCAGTGTCCATTGTAAAAAGGTAGCTCAAGGGTGAAGGAAGTGAAAGTACTTCCCAAAATAACACAATCTAATGAAGGAACCATGCATTTCAGTGACCGTGTGCATGTGCGTCCACAAATCCCAACCGTTTTTTTCTGCTTTTGTCAAAATCTGGGTCCACTTGAGTCACTCCAATGTTCTACACCTGTCTTACATTGTGAAAATCATATGCTAGTGAACATTACCCAAGCAGCAAATGTGTTTCCTCCAATCACATTGTTTATGCAGAGTTAATACAGGGTTGAGATTGAATGATGTAAGTCTATAATATGTTTGATGTATGTCTCTTTGGGCCTACTTTATATCCAGTGCATCAAATCAAATTCACTTGATTTCACGGAAGGACAAGCGAATACAAAATTCAAAGCAAAACATTTTCATTTTCAACGAGGCCACGCATGTGTGTCCTCCTTTACGGTTAACCAACACTGATATCAGACTTGTTGTTTGCACAGCTTGAGTGATGTGGCACCAAAGTGACCTACAAAACAGCCGTGGTGGGGCCATAAATCACATTGGGTCTGGAATTAATCACTGTGCAGAGGACATCTTCTGCCACCGCTGTCCTCTCACAATCACTCTCCACAAAATGCTCGCACCCTCCCTCCCTTCCATCCATCCTTCCGTCTTTACCTCCATTGCTGTATCAACCACCAAGGAGACCACCGATTGGTCCCCGGGGGAATGACAGAAGCGGGGTTGTCCTTTCCACCACCTATTTAAAATGCAGGTTAAACTTTATAGAGTTGCCCGCATGTCAGCTATCTGAAATTCTTTTCTGCACAAGATAATGACGTTTTTTTTGTTCTCGACTAGCCTCAAGACCACATTAAATTTCACAGCCTCCACCTCATGGCGCCAGCAGTATGATAACTGTCAGTTTTATTTCAAGATGCTGACCATAGGGACCATGGTGGGAGCAAGGAAGGGTGTGGAGGAGGAGATGGGGGCGCTTGATTTATTAGACGGCAGTCACAGTGGGGATCCAATCAACATTACATCGAATGCCAACACCAAGTCGGCGTGAGGCTTAAGGCACTTCACTTCAAGGGCAGCTGCCGTCAGTTCAAAGACAAGCCGGCACAGTGGCCATTGTCTTCACTGTAAAACTCAATCTGCCACTCACCAATCCCGCGACCCTAGGATGACAACATTGATCTGTTGGCCCTGCAAAAGCTGCCAATCCCTGCCAGCAGAGTATCAACGAATTATTATCTTGTTTTGTTCTGTTAACACTGATATTGGCTAAAAGAAAACAACAATATATATAATAAAGATGGGCTATTTGCCAATGCTGCAGAAAACCTCCGTTTTTAAAGCCCAACGTTGGAACTGATTATGAATGCATCTTGTGATTCAACATGCCACTGTTCATCTGTTCTCAAAACTGCAATTATTTAGTGCAATGAGTGTGAACATCCTACTTTATCAGGGTCAGGTAAAATAACATATTTGTATCAGGTTCTAGCATGAGTTAGATTGGAGCACTGGAGTGGATAAGTTGTGGAAGAAAATGTGATTCTTTCAAATGTCTAATGGGAGGGATTTTTTTAATTCCCTGCTGTCACAACATCTCACCAAATTGATAGTGGGAAGACATTTCATCTGCAGGTTATTTAACACCTGACTCACCTAATTATTGGTGTGCTATTACACACCATCACAAGAGTGTTGCTGCCACACTTAAATTGCCTTATAACAAGAAGTACACAATTGTTTCGACCTGGGAAAAAAGGCTCACAGTGTCTAGCTTGGTGTTATCAAGGTAACAAGGTCGCGTCAATATACTAAGAACCATTATTACTACATTATTTGACTACTATTCTTAGTTCCTCTGGTTCCTTTCCTCCTCCATCTCCAAACCTCTTACTTCACTTTTGAAATCTATTTGTGTTTTATGTGACAGTGTTGCCCAAACCTTTGTCATTTCTGGTTCAGGAGATTCAGATTGTTGGTGTGTTTTTTGCCAACCTCCAGAGTTGTTTGTCCCCCAGTGTGATTACAATCTCACACTACAGGAGACAGGACGGGTTCAGGGTCTGAAAACCGTCCGTATATGTCAATCCAAATTTGCGGCTGCTGCTGTCGAGGGTGAGAGGTGAGAGATACGTCTCAGCCCCAGTGGCTGGAGGCTGATGATTATAGTTGACATCTGTCCGACATATTTTTTTCCAAAGGTCAGTCAAAGGCCTCAGTGAGAACCATGTCCAAGCTTTTCTGAACGAACAGTTTTTTGGAATCCTTCACATATATTACTACCACATATAGTGCTTTGGCAAGGCAGTCTGCCAGGAATAAGAGGGGCCATGAGTACAGGTCAGGAGTGGATTTCCCAATTTCCCAAGAGATTATAAGAGTATTCTTGATATATGAACACTCTCAGAATACAATCATTGAAGATGAGCATTTCAGTGGAAACTTAAACAAAGGCTGACAAGGTATCATGACCTTGTTTTCATGTTTTCCAAACTCAACCAGAAATGATTCAACCCTCCCACACTCATATTCCCTACGTGAATGCAAATCAACAACACATGTAACGATACATGAGTGGCTCCAGTATTCTGAAGATCGATGACTGGTATATTATGTTGCATGGGTTTATATTGTCCACGAACGGATAACTACGGTACATTATGTTGTGTTTTTCTCTGCTCACATGAAGCCAACCTTAACCAGATGGTTCAAAATGGACTCAAATCCACGTATGAAATGACACATCACCTACCAAATGACCTAAAACTACAAATTAAACTGTTTGACCTGTTGCAGAAATGATACAATGGATGATTATTGATAAAAAAGAAAAGGACCAACCAAAGAGGAAGTCGCAATGGTTTCTCAAGGAAGTGACTGGGACTCTTTTGTCTTTTTCTGTCTCTACATTGACCTTATTTCAACTGAAATAAACTATTTGTAAAAAACTCACCCCAGGATTAAAATGCATCATATCGACTAAATCCTTCTGACTTGCCCTGCTCGATCAATGCCCCACTCAAAAACACACTCCCTGTTGTCACAGCAATTAATCGGAAACAGCTAATCAAGATCTATGAGAGGAAACCCTCAGCAGGACACAGAAACTGTCCCCTCATTGGTGGCTGGCGAGGTAGCAAACGGCTGTTGGAAAATCAATACTTTCCAATTAAGTGACATTTGCTCCCAAGGGATATAGTTATGTCCTTTCATGTGGTGTTTTTAAGATGACTTTTTAAATGCATTCTTTGTTAGTTGTTTAACAATCTTCATCATTCCATTTTGTACAGTAGAAGGAAGCAAAGACATCCACATCATATTATTTTTGGGCAATCCCCACACATTGTAAAAAGAATGGGTTCATTATTCGCAGAGGAGAAATGACTTCGACATAAAAAGCCAATATGCAAATCCCTGAGGAGCATAATGAGTTTGCAGAAAATATGAAAACAACCTATGAAAGACTGTAGAACAACCGTCCAACAATGCCTTCAGCTGCAATATCAGCTGTGCAAAACAGTGGAGACAATCTTTTTCAAGGGCCCTGTTCAATTGGAGTTGATGGTGTTGGTATTTCATGCAGTCAGATGCTGCGGACACCCGCAACCTCCTCCACCACCTCCTCCACCAAGCAAATTGCTAGCACCTAGCACCGCTCCCTGAAGCCCGGTACGAAGAGTCAATTACGTTATTGGGTTAGCAGCCGTGATGGTCTCAGAAGGGCAATAGAAATTAGGTGGTGCACTTACATCAAGGTGGGCCGGGACAATCGGTAAATGATTGCAGCATTAGCTTCCCCGACCACATCCCTCAGCGTTTGGTGTGTCCAATAAAACACACAGAAAAATGCAATCCAATGAATCAGACTCCACTCTGCAGCAAATGAATGAACTGTGCACAGTGTCTATTAATGTCAACCCGTGACAAACATGTCTGAGTCTTGCCTGGTCTGCAGTACAAAAAGCCTGTGTAGCATTATGGGTAGTGCATTATTTATGTTTTTTCAACACCCATAAATGACATTTTTATAAACTAACCTCCTAAAACAATGATTGCTGATGCTCTCTATACAGCAATCAAATGTAAGTGTGCACTAGCTGAATGCCATATTTATTCTAAAAACTGACTTTGAGTTATAGAAAAAATAACATGAAATCACACAGCTTCCCGCAGAGTGCATGGCAGTGTTTGATCTGAATGTCTTCAATGCAACAGTGATTGTGCTCTGACTTCAGCTTAGTGATTCAGAGTCAAAAGGATGTCTGTGAGTATGCCGACTTATTTTTAGTTTGTTCATTTCATCGGGGATGTGAAAAAGAACTAAGGAAAACTGCCCATGCGGTGCGCCTGAGGACATTTGACAATTTGTATAAGCTACATCCATCTTCAAGACAAAGTATTGAACTTGGAGGTTAGGGGAAATCAGCAAACACATTCATTTCTGTCAAGCAACACCACTGCGGACAGGAGAGGTACATTGTTTCTGTTTGCCAATGATCAATTTTGGATGAGAGCAAAAAATATCATTTTTTATAATAGACACCAAAATTAATCTCAGAAGTGCTTTGTGTTGGGGAATGAAAAAATGTTTATGCAAGTAAGGCATTAAAGTGAAGAACATAACCTTTACTTGTATTCTATGATAATTGCTTTGTGCTGCAGAAAGGGAACCTTTTAGCAGTGTAGTTTGATAACAAGCCTTGTATTAGGCTGTTTTAAAAAGATATATTAAAACATTTCAGCTCTGTCTGAAGGGCATGACGCAGTAGAGAGATAGTGATACAAAAACTCAGTTTCCAAATTAAAAATGTGCACAATCCTGACGCGTCCTCAGATGTCCCTTTGACTTCCCGCCTCTCCAACAGTGCTCCAGATGAATACCCATTTACAATGTTCACATTTTTATTGATTCTTCCTTTTTATTATTAATAAAGGTTGAGTTTTCTGTCAGACGGTTATGGGGCATGGTAGACTTGGACTTTTCCCATTTCTTTCTCTTTTTGGATTTTATGAGATCATGACCCAGAGCTTTTACTAGATTAACACTAAGGCTTTTAGCATCACACAGGTTCTAATTGTCCCTTGACAACATGAGTGCATTTGCACAAGCGCCACAGGCTTGACGCCACAGCTCCGAGCAACAGGCCCGCATCAACTAATGCACTTTGCAGTGAAAAGACTAAACGCTGTGTTTTCGTGCTGTCGCAGAGCAAGCGCAGTGACCTCATCCTGGCAGAGTGGTCATTTCATTGAGCACAAGTGGATTCCTTCCCACCTTTACTGGTAATTTCACAGCATCGTATGACATCACTCATGTCGAAAGACGCGTGGAGCACACTAGAATGGAGTGATGGTGTTAACTCGAGGTGTAGTGCAATTGTTGTGCCAACAACAAGCTTGAGCCTTCGTCTGCTCAAACAAGTTATTGCCGCACTGACGCAGGTGTAAAGGGCTATTTTTATCTTTTCTTTGAGACTTACTGTACTAGAGATCAATCAATAGAAAGAATAGTATGTCATCTCAAAACCTGAGGTATGAATACATGTATGTCATAATCTGTTACTCAAAGAAATACTGCACTAATTTCTGTTGCAATAGTCTTTTAAAACATCATAATATATCATGCACCTTTATGAATTTTCCTCTAACCTCAGGTGTAAAAAGCAACTTAGCTGATCTCCAAGACATGTTCAAGTTATTTCCATAATCCACAGGTTGTGCTCTTAGAGACATTCCCAACAATGTGTTGATTCAGTTAGTGCAACATGACTCATTAAATGAATTAGTACATCAGGGATCTATTCTCTGCCCCTTTATTATTTGTAAAGCTTTACAGATGACGTTGTTGAACAATGTAGGAACATCAGGTTTCTCTAAGAAGATGACACCACTGTCTGGCAGCTATAATGATCAAAATGCATCCGAGGTTACTGAGCTGGAATACATCTGAAAGTTGCCTAAATGTCTTCAAGCTTAGCAAATGTGTGGCATGATCCTATCAAGAAAGAAGAATCCATCTTGCCATGATAATGTATTTGGCGGAAGCAATAT